CCCTAAACCCAAAAAACCCTAAAAACCCAAAAAACCCTAAAAACCCCTAAAAGCCCTAAATCCGAACCTGAACCCGACCTCGACCCGCGAAAACCCGACCCTTCCCAGGACTTCTCTAGGAATCACGGCTTTCGGGCTTTAGAGTGTTAGGGCTTTAGGGCTTTAGGGTTTAGGGTTTAGGGGGTTTTAAGGCTTTAGGGCTTTAGGGCTTTAGGTTTAGGGCTTTCGGGCTTTAGGTTTTAGGGTTTTAGGGTTTTTGGTGGTTTTAGGGTTTTCGGCATTTAGGGTTTTAGGGTTTTAGGATGGGAAGGAACCTAACCCTTCTAAGGACTTATATGCCCAGACCCCCGGAAGGATCTAGAAAGCAGATCCCCTAATTTGGGACCACTAAAGGGTACTTTAAACCTAAACCCTAAACCCTAAACCTTAAAGGATCTACTTCTTGGATCCTGCCGGATGTCAGGGTGGGAATCATACGGCGAGCCCCATCCTGCTGTTACCACGAAATTACATATTCCAGCCCCCCCTAGAAACCTCGAAGACCCTACATCCGAAACTTTCCTAAAAACGCGTTTAGGGTTTAGAGTTTAGGGTTTAGGGGTTTAGGGGTTTAGGGGTTTAGGGTTTAGTAATTTAGGGTTTAGGGTTTAGGGCCCTAAACCCAGCCTTAAGCAAGGCAAGAGGCATATCCGAGAATCTCTTCCAATCAAACTGCTCCCCAAGGGTATCCACATCTCCGCCGATCACGAAAAGATTCCGGGGATCCTCGGTAGTCTTCTTCTTGGAGGTTAGGGGTGGTTTAGGGCCTTCAATGCTAAACCCTACCCACTTTGCATGCACTCCGCGACATCGCCGTAGCCCAAGAATGTCAACAAAAAAGCCTTACAGCGCAAAACAAGAAACTCAGAATCCGGTTTTTTTGGTGTCTTTGAGGCTTACAGGTCAGGCATTCTGGAGAGATTCTGAAACCCAGATTGCCTAAAGTCAGATCCGACAATACACTGTAGCGATTGCTTCAAAGCCCAGATTACGGCAAGGTATCAAAGTTTAGGATTTCTGTATAGTAGAAGCCCAAAAATTGGAAACCCACTAGCCTCAATCCTTACGAGTAATGTATAAGGAATCCCAGCAAGATTTGTCCTTAATCAGGCTTCCAACTTTTTGGGGTGTTCTGTAGCAAGGTTCAGTGAAACAGCAGTAGAACACCTTATGGGGTGCAGGGCTCAGGGGCTTGGCTTTGAAAACCCGAAAACCCTGAAACCCTAAAACCCTAAAACCCTGAAGCCCTAAAACCCTCAAGCCCTAAAAATCCTAAAACCCGAAAGCCCTAAAACCCTAAAACACTAAACCCAAAAAGCCCTTGCGGAGCTTCCGGAACCATTCTTCTTGGATTTACCGAGTTTTCGGACTTGGGATTTTCTGGACTTTCCGGGCTTTTGGAGCTTGCCCTACGGGTCCAAAAGGACCCCACGATTAGGTACTCGGGTTTTTTTGGATAGAAGATATGTGGGTTTGTATTTGGGGAAGTATATGAGAATTAGATACTTGGACCTTGGGGCTAGGGTTTATAAGGCTCGAAGGGTTTAGGGTTTAGGCTTTAAGGGCCGAAGGGCAACTAACTCCCTACGACCCTCTTCCCTCCCTTGCACGCTGGGTTGCGGAAACGTACGGCGAAAGGAGGGATGCATACTCCTCAGCCTGCGCAGAACCCGAAACTCAACCTACAGAACCCTGTTGGAGCCATATTTAAAATAGTAAGTTTTGATCCCCAAACTCTTACAGTAGTTTTGTAAAGCTGGGCTTACGACTAAGTTGTGCTTATGACGAATTTACAGCGTTTAGGGTTTAGGGTTTTCGCTTCGAGTTCAGGATCTTAACCACGCTAAAGATAGATTCCACGGAGAAGACCTCTTGGGCTTTCTCCGTACCATAGGCCCCTAAGTAGTTCTTTTTTATGGTTTATATGCAGAACCCTATATGGTACTCCCAAAAAGGAACAGCTTAGGGGACTATGGGGGTACCAATCCACGAGACCCCGTTCACGCGTGCAGTCTCGTGCTTGTGCTGGCAGAGGACACACCTAGAAAGATGTTTCCGACTTGATATCCCACAGGCCCCTCGGACCCCCACGATAGCCAACAGCAAGAGTACTTCAAAAGGAAACCCGATGTCAGCCAACTGAGAGACAGAAAGAACATCAGGATCCAAAACCATACACCCCAGACCCCAAGCCCTAAACCCTGGACCCCGAAAGAATATCTGGCATGGACAGCGCTGTAAGCAATCCTCAATGTCCTGAACTCGCAACTTGTGAGTCTTCGGCCTTAGGGCTTGTCGGCTTTGGGATTTAAAAGGGTATAAGGGCTACTGTAAGGGTCGCTATAAGGGCTCCACAAGGGTTCTAGACGGTTAGAATCATGAAGCTTCAGGAATAGCAGAATAGCGTCACTAACTACTCCGACTCGACCCCTATATTAGGGCTTCTGGGTTCAGGAGTTAGGCTTCTGGGTTTACAGCGGCGTGGTCCGGCTTTCAGGGCTTCTGTGGCCGGGCCTGCGCTTCAGGTTGAAGTGGGCATCGGATTCTTCAGCTTTTTTCGGGGTTAAGCGGTTGGGAACTTTGAGTTATTAGGTGACGCAAACCGTGAAGGTTTTGTTTTTTCAGGGTTGGGCGGTTTCAGTCGGGGCAGGGCCGGTGTACCCCTCGGTTGCGCCTTCTCTGTCATCAAGCCACCCACAAGGATAGGCACCAGAGTGAATTTCTGGTCCTGCGCTTGACTGACCGGGCCCAACTTTGCGACAGCGGACTAAATCGTAAGCCGTAAACTCTGAAACCCAGCCACAAAACCCGGCGAATCTGCCCTAAACCCTAAACCCATGTTAAGGCTTCAGCCAGCGCATCTGAAGCCTCGGGCTAGGCATCATGCTGCAGCCCGACCTCCCGTGAAGAACGAACCTCATCATGATGTACGACGAGGATGAAGCACACTATCATCTACATAAGTAATTAAATAAATAAATATATATATATAGATATATATGCATGTGTATATATATATAGCTAGAACTATCTAGATACCTGATATATACACACGGCAAGATGCATGTGTGGGCGCAGAGACACAAATTGGCAGACTCACTCGCACGCACGCACACGCACACACACACACACACACACTCTCTCTCTCTCTCTCCCCCTCCTTTGCTCTTACTCGAAGGATCGCATCAATCCATGTGTGTGAAGTGTCTGCCCACACGTAAAACACACGGCGGTCTAAACCCTAAAACCCTAAAACCCTAAACCCCTAAACCCCTAAACCCTGAACCCTATAAATACCCTAAACCCCTAAACCCTAAAGCCCTAAACCCTATAATTACCCTAAACCCCTACACCCTAAACCCCATAGATACCCTAAACCCCTAAACCCTAAAAAACCCTAAACCCTAAACCCTATAAATACGCTAAACCGCTAAATCCTAAAGCCTAAAGTTACCCTAAACCCCTAAACCCTGAACTCTAAACCCTATAATTACCCTAAACCCCTAAACCCTAAACAACCCTAAACCCCTAAACCCTAAACCCTATAATTACCCTACTGTAAACCCTATAATTACCCTAAACTCCTAAACCCCTGAGCCCTAAACCCTATCATTGCCCCAATAAATCCCAGTTGGCGCCTCGCCAACGCAGCTCTGCACGAAGGGCAGCAGGGCTTCCACACAGCGCTCGCGCTGGTCCTGTGTCGGTCGGTTCTTATAAGGGCGAAATGAACCAGAAGGGAACGTAGGGTTTGGGGCCTTAGGGTTCTAGGGTTTTTTTGGGGTGCTGGGGCTTTAGGGTTTAGGGTTTTTTAGGGTTTAGGGTTTAGGGCTTAAGGTGCATATACCATATAGGGATTCATCGTATAAGGGTATGAGGCCCCTACTTATAAGGTTCATTTGGTCCCCCAAGGGTTCAGGGGTCAGGGCTCAGAGTTATGACCCAGAGGGTCCAGGGTTTCGGGTTTAGGGCTCAGGACTCAGAGTTATGAGTTTAGGGTTTAGGGCTTCGGGCTTAGGGTTTAGGGTTTCGGGGTAGGGGCTCAGGACTCAGAGTTATGAGCTTAGGGTTTAGGGCTTAAAGTGAAGTTTACGGTTTAGGGTTCAGAAAGTTATATTACCTGATACCATACTAGACAGTATCCATACTGCTTCGTCGTCGAAGGCCTCTTTATGACTTTTGGTCACGGCCGTCAGCCGCTTATTTTCCCCGACGAGGCCGCTTGGTGGAGCGTTCTTCGAGAGGACCTCCGACTTGTCCCCGCACCACGGTTTTTATTGGATTGTATGGCAGTAACCCAGGGCTCCAAGTACCTAAAAATCATAAACTCTCCCAGGTACTAACCCTCCCAAGTACTAACCTACAAAACTGCGATCCCCAACCCAAGTACCTAAGTATTGGGTCTGTTGGACCCCCATCGCGCTAGCAGCTACGAAATTCCTCTGCCTCCCGTGGGAGGAGCCTGAGCGCTGCCTGTAGGCTCAGACCCTACCTGTGTCTTAGGGTATCTACTTTTCTATGTAACAGATCCTAACCATATAACCACAAAGCCAGGTACCCTAAAAATAGGGGTTTAGGGACAAAGCCAGGTACCCTAAAAAATGGGGGTAGGGTGTGAGCCTCTATAGGGGAGTGGAGCTTGTCCCAGACCACTAGGGGCGTTGGATTTAGGCCCTTTAGGGTTTACCCAGAGGCTCCATAGTAGTTGCTTTTTGGGATTACCTTATAGGATCCTAAATATAAGCCACAAAAAGGAACTACTATGGAGCCTATGGGTAGGGTCTTGGGGCTTGGCGACTGGGTTTGGGTGTAACTTAGAGTTTCTTTCAGGTAATTTTTTTTGAGAGATGTGCGAGATGATGCCGCTGAAATTATGAGGCTGAGAGCTTCAGTGGAGACCGCTGAGCTTGAACTCCTCCGCCAAGAAATTTTCTGGGAGGAGCTACAGCGGTTTAGGGTTTAGGGTGCAGGAGAATCAAGAGCTGAAGGCGCAAACACTGCAGGCCACAGAAGAGGGCTTCAAGGTTGGTTGTGCCAACACAGCTTGCGTGAAGCCTATGTGCCAGGAGCCATGCTTTTCGGTTTCGGCAGGGCAGCAACGCAAGCGCAGAGGCCGGCATTGCCATTTGCATTGTTATGCCATCGATGTGTGTCTCGAACGTGGAATTGAGCGGAATATTGAGTGTCTCTCTGGTCGCTCATCGCAACGATGAGTGGCAGGCAGCGCGGCTTTCCCGCATCACCTTTGGGGGGTCTGCTGGCGTCAATGGGGAGGAGCGTGCAAGATCAAGGCGCCTGAACACCAAACCGCCCCTTAGGATCTGCAGGAGAAGGCTGGGCACAAACAAGAAGACTGGGCTTAGGGATTTAGGGCTTAGGGAGGCGAAACTGTGTGTCGGAACTGTGAAGAAATGGTGGCACTTCCATGCGGCCTCTGGACGCCCCTAAACCCTAAACCCTAATAGCCAAACTAAGTCTTCAACCAATCCGTCGTCATGCTTTCTCGTCGCAAAGTCTCCACTTGAAGCCTCCAATCTGTACAACGAAGTCTGAATATTTACCACTCCCTAAGGGTCCATGTGCCCAAATAGTGTATACTTTAGGCCCAAAGTACCCAAAAGAGACTGCTTTAAGGGCAAACTATATACTATTTGGGTACATGGACCCTTAGGGACTACTATTCCCCGAATTTCCTTACCGTAACATGATGTCGCTATACTATCATA